CTGCAGCAGCAGCCGCATCAGGGGCCTCCACCTCGACAGCAGCAGCAGCTGCAGCAGCAGCAGCAGCAGCAGCAGCAGCAGCAGCAGCAGCACGAAGAGTCTCTGCTGCTGCCAGCAGCACCACCACTGCGTTTCCACGCCCCCACAGTGGGGGGCCCCCTCAGCAGCAGCGGGGGGCCCCCCCCTGCCTCTGCTGCAGGTGCTGTGCTGCAGCTGCAGCTGCCTGCAGCACCGCAGCAGCAGCAGCAGCAACTCCAGCAGCAGCAACAACTGCAGCAGCAGCAGCAACTACAACAGCAGCAGCGACTGCAGCAGCAGCAGCAACTGCAGCAGCAGGCTGTTGAGCCGCTGCTGCAGCAGGAAGCAGCAGCAGTACTATCGGAAGCTCTGATGCCGGCTGCTGCAGCAAGCAGAGTAGACACAGCAGCAGCAGATGCTGCTGCTGCTGCAGCAGCAGCTGCTGCTGCAACACAGCCCGTGCCTACGCCGCAGCAGCAGCAAGTGGTGCAGCAGCAACTGCTGCAGCAGCAGACGGAAGGCGACGGAAGACCAGAAGAAGCAGCAGCAGCAGCAGCAGCAACTGCTGCTGCTGCTGGTGGCTGGACAGAGGACCTACAGCAGCAGCTGCTGCTGCTGCAGCAGCAAGAGCAGCAGCTGCTGCAGCAGGAGGAGTTCCTGCGGCTGCAGCTGCAGCAAAAGAAGTCATCCAGGTCGCAGCAGAAGGATGTTGCTGCTGCTGCAGAGACAGCAGAGACACAGCAGCAGCAACCGCAGCAGCAACAGCAGCAACAGCAGCAGCAGCAGCAGCAGCAGCAACGCGAAGCCTTTCTGCTGCTGCAGCAGCAGGAGTGGCGCGGGGTTGAGCTGCTGCAGGAGGAACAGCCACAGGGGAGACAGCAGCAAATCGAATTCATACTCAACGCGCAGCGCTGTCTCTAGCAGCAGCAGCAGCAGCAGCAGCAGCAGCGGCAGCAGCAGCAGCAGCAGCAACAGCAGCAACAGCAGCAGCAGCAACACTTATTGCAGCAGCAGATTATACACTCCTTTATAGGGGAGGGTTAGTTGGCTCAACAACGGTTGCAGTGAAAGACGCAGGCATTGCTGCTGCTGCTGCTGCTGCTGCAGCAGCAGCAGCAAGTGCAGCAGCAACTGCGGCAGCAGCAGCAGCTGT